GTGAAATTACAAAAATATATGAAAAAACTGTAATTTTTCCGAAATGATGATGATGATGATGACATATCGAAAATCTAAAGCGAAATGTTATAAATTAAAATAAAGATTTAAAAAAAAAAAAAAAAAAGTTTTATAATAATTATTATTTTTGATATTGTTTGTCTCTTTGTTTTTGTTTTCTAATGATTACGTGTCAGCATTGCAAAAAAAAAACAAAAAAAAAAACTTTTAAATTTTTTTTTCTTTTTTTTTTTTTTTGTTAAATGATGGGTTTTTGTTATTATTATTATTATTGATTTTGACGTTACATGTAAATATAAAAAGTTTTTTCTAACTAAAAAAAAATAATGGGGTTCGGTTATAATAATATGTATATTGTAATGTTCTTCGATTTATTTTTCTTTGCTTGTCTTTCCTTCTTTCTTCTATCTGGGTCTCCGTTTTCGGTGATGATTACTCCAACGTGTGTCTGAGTACACTTGTCGTAGAGAAGAAGAAGAATTGAGTATTTCTTATACTCATCTGTAGCAAGCAAGATATTCTTCTCAATTGGTTTGAGTTATTATTGAAGGTCGTTCGTAAACAATGCCGAGGAACTTCACGATCACTGCACTATGTTGATGATGAATGAATGGTACCAAAATTTGATGGATGGACGAAGAACCGTTTCTTCAGGAGTCTTCTCCACCTCTTTTTATATGTCTCATTCATTGTTACTTTAATCGCAATAAGAGCTCTAACAATAAAAACACAAAGGAAAAAATCTTTTGGAAGGTTCGCTGTTCTATTTTTTATTTCGAGTACCCATTGCTACTATTATGATACCCATTGTTACTGTTTTTTGGTGTTTATAACGTCTATAAATGTTTTCGTGAATAAATAATTGAGGACGGGAACATAACAATATATTTATTTATTTATAATTATTTATTTTAATATTTAATTTAAAAAAAAAAGAATCGAATGAGTTTATTATTATGGTCACTCTTAAACATGACAGCATTTTTATTTGTCGTGGTTTTTTAGCATTTATTCCAGGTTTCTACCCGACGATTCCTTAGGGACAAATATTCGAATTTCGTTGGTGCTATTTATAATATTTTCCGAAGAATGTGGGCCGTCCCACATAGTGCGATTTCCTGGTTTGAATGGTTTCTTCTTTTAGTTTCTTTAAAATCTTCTTTAAATTTCCTTTCATTGAATGTGGCATTATTATTATTATCGTTATGAATGTGTAAAATAAATACTTTAATTGATTAATATTGATTTTCTACTCGCTTTTATTAACCTGTAAAATTACTATCATATTTATAATAAAATAATTCAAAGTTTTAAATGAAATATTTTTAATAACATTGTTGGTTGTTTGGTTGGTCGGTTGTTGTGCTTATTAAATTTTTTTTTTTCGTTTGTTTAAAATAAATTAAACTGAACTTTAAAAAAAAAAATTTTTGTAGTATTTTTTATTATGCAATAATAAATAATGTTACAAAAGGAAACTTATGAATGAATGAATGAATGCATTTTAACGTATTTCCGTATATAAGTTTTTTTTTTTTTTTTTTTAACCGAGCATTTTTATTTTGCTTTATTAATGAATTTAATTAATTAAATTAATTATTTAAAAAATATTTTTTATGTCAAATTTGATTTAAACGTGAGAATTAATTATTATTCGTGCTGTCGTCTGATACTTGTACCAGAAAAGTAAATAGTTGATAAACGATTTCGAAGTTCTTATTACGATTGTTAAAAAATGATTTTTCATCCACGTGGGAAATAAAAACCAAGTTTTTTCAAATGCGTCGCCGAATAAATTCGTACTCTTTAAAAAAAAGTAAAAAAAAATTTTTTTTCCGTTAAAAAAAAAAGAAGAATTTATTTAAATTGTTTATATGTAAACGTCTTCTGCTGCTACTACTACCAAATCATCCAAATCGTTACCGAGTTTACACCAGAGGAAAAGCGACAACATGATGCTCGTCGATACAACGGGTAAATAAATGTGACTGAAACCGATTTTAACCTGCGTAAAATAATAATAATAATAATAATAATAATAATCGTTATGAGGACTAATTAAATAAGACATGTAATATGGAAATGTACGTACTTTTGCGACGTGAAAAGCGGTGAAACACACGTAATACGAAACTAATAATAATTGTATTGAATTAAAGGGTGACAGAAAATTTTGTACCTCGTTAAAAAACCTAAAAGAAAATTTTTTTCGTTTTCATTTTCACTTTTACTTTTAATGTATTTTTTGTAACCGTCACCTTATCGTTTGTTTATGATGGAATATCCAAATTTTTAAATTTTCTTCGAATTTATTTAAAATTTCTTTGTCGTAATAATAATAATGATAATTCGAATGATTTGATTTTTTTGTTTCGTTTAAACGTTTTACACGTTTTAACGATTCGTTAAAATTTTCTCTGAAACGAGAAAAATTTTAAATTTGAAAATATACGTAACGATGATTCGATTTTTAATTTTTTTCTCTACCTTGACCGTTTAAATAATTTGCCGACATTTTGTCAATTGATAATTTATCATCGATGTTGATAAAAGTTTCTTTTATCATGACGGTGATAACGTTTTTCAAATAATCAAGTTGAGTCGATATAGATGAAAGAATTATTATTATTAAACCGTCCAACGACGTGACGCTAAAACGGTCAATAAATATATTTTTTGTTTTTTATTTCTATTAAGGAAGTCATAGGAGATGTTTAAATGAAAAAAAATTAACTCACGCGAAACAAGCGAAAAATCCACGTAAAAAGAAAAAAAATTTACATATTACAGACCATGGAAATTTATCGATGTACAAAAGTTTTATGCCAAATTCGAAATTTTCCTTTTTGGAAAAGAGTAAGGGAACGACGTAAATGGACACGCCGAAAAAATTTAATAAGTAAAGCATAAATATTATTTTATTATTTAATTTTTTCATTTGGTTTATTTTTTCCTGTAATGAAAATAATTCGAATTATTATTATCATCATCATCATATTTTACGGTGTCGATTGTGTTATTTACCTGTCTTATGATCGGATGTAAAGGTTTTTCAAATGACGAATCCCACGCATCGATTAATTTTTCCAATTTTTTCGCATTCAAATAAAAAAAAATGATTTTAATGAGAGAAAAAAAAATTGATTGTGTTCGTGCGGAACAATCCTAATTTTTTAAACGTCGATATATCCGCGTGAAATAAATATGGTAAAAGTAATGCGGAATATAAAAATAATAAAATCACTCCCAATGTCGACCATGTTTTAAACGACCATATC